CTGGGGATTGAACTTGAACCCAGAGCCTAAGGCATGCTAGGCAAGTGCTCGATCCTGGAGCTACATCCCCAGCTCTGTAATCCAGTTTTGCTTTGTTCAAAAATTTTAACTCTTATTGCACTGATGCTGAATAAGCAAATGTTTGGAAAAATCTGAAACTCAAAAGAGAAAAGTAAATATAAAATAAAGGGAGACTCTACTAAAGCACTTATTCTTCAATTCAAAGAATTGTTTCGAGCCTTAAAATAAAATGTTGAAAAACAGCCCAATTATATTTTCAAATCAACATTTTCAATGAATCCAACAATTTTCAGACAAGATTTTCACAGGGAGTAACTGTCAAATATTCTAGTTTTCTAAAAGCCCTGAACCTATGTAATGCCTTAAAATTTCTTCCTATGACTTTAAAGCTATAAAGTGCTTTGAAAATTGTTAAGCATATATCTGAATATCTATCCTCATTTTTAATTTCCTATACCTAACACATCTTATTGAATAATCAATTTTCTTGTTCATCTTTTAAAAAAGTATTACTAAACTTTTTCTAAAATTATGACCCATTTAATCTGTGTTTACAAAGACTTTGGTACTCATATTTTTATGTACTTTTTTATACACCATAAAAACATACGCACTGTGCTTAGTTGTTAGAAAGGGATAAAATATAATACATGCTTTTAAGTACATTACTGTGTACACAACAGTTATTCTATATCTCCTTTAAAGAAACCTTACCTACTCTATTTATCATGTAAGTTTTGATAAAACAAACAAATAGGTATTTACCTAGAGAGCATGCTGGGAGCAGCCAGTGTCCCCTACTGAGATACAACCACTAGACATTTGGACAGCAAGAATGATTCAGGGTTCAAGGTAGTCACTGAAATTTTTAGCTCTCATATTTAATCGCAATTCACTTGTTATGAAAAGGCAAATAATGCAGTCAATGTTAATGTTTTATGAGTAAAGTCTGGTATTCAAACTTCAGTTAATTCAGAAGCTTTATGAAAATTATGGTAAAGCCATTTTGATTGTCAAAATGCCATAACACTTTTGAATTAAAGTACCTCTGCAAACTTCAGTTCAAACTATTCACTCATGAAGTATACTATATCTGCCAATTTACACTGAAAAGATACCTTTACATTGAAAAGATATCTTTACAGTAGATATTTCTTCAAGATACACTGTATTTTTCATTTTTAGAAAAAGAACATTCAAGTTGACTTATAAAAGGGAAAACCGCTACAGTTAGTTAATATAACCATGCACACTGTACTCTGTTTTTACAGTCAAAGGCAGAAAAATTTCTAGCAAATGAAAGAAAAATTAATTCACCATCAGCCAAACCCATGAAAAATCACCCCAAACAAAGGAAACTCAAGCAAAGTCAAACAGCTAAAGTAAGGTGGAAATAACTAAAGTACATTTTCTCCACACTGGCACTGATGAACAAAATAGAGTTTGGGAATGCTCATGTATAAACAGTTTATCATCTCATTTTGACTTTTATTTAAAGTACTACATGTTCTAAACATTCACATTTTGCAGTACACAATAATAGTACAAAAACAGTAATGCATTCGAAGTATTGAAAAGTGAACCCTTTTCTCACCAACTATATCCTGTGTGGACTGGAATTAAAAATAAAAAACTAATAGCTTTTACAGGTGGAAGAATTGCAAACGGTGGTAATTTCCCATCAAGGAGAAATCTCCATCGCAAATCCAGGAATTACCCTCCTCTCTGCTGACAAGAAGAAATGCAATCCTCTTACCTGCCATCCAGAAAGAGCTTACAATGTTAAGACCCAGGACCCCTCCCTCCTTTTCACGGTTTATTAAGCAAAAAGCCACAGCCCTTCATGGTCCCTTCTAGTTCCAACATCCTATGATTCAAACGGGGGTAATGACTCTCTTTTCTTGCTCAGTAGAGTCCTGGGGAGGGAATGATTTTACTGTCCTTTTTCTGTGGGGTCCTGCCGCTTTATCTAAAAGGAAGTGAATTACAACAGGACGACAAGGCCACAAAATAAAGCCATTTAGTCTTACAAATCTATTATGTCCTCCAATCTGTTTTATAGGCCTGGTCCCATTATACACCACGAATAAACCCTAAAACAAACTTTAGCCCCATGACTCTTTGCAATGAAAAATTTACAATTTTATGACTCTCTTTCAAGCCGTGTGGCCCCTTCCATGTGTTGTTTTTTTTTTTTTTCCCAAAAAAACTCTTCCTTTCCGTTTTCACAAACCTGCAGAACACTCTGAGACCAGGAATTGGACTTTTCAAATACAAACTGCTGACAACTGTCAGAAGCATTTTACTGGGACATTACTGACTGTAGCTTCAATGAATTAAGCTTGATTCACTGTGGGTGAATCATTTTCAATGCAGAGCTGTTCAGCAGTAATTGGCCAAGAATCCCTGCTGAGAAAAGCACTTGTCAAATAATGCTTGTTTACAAATATATCTCCAGACAGCAAAAAGTGGCAGTTACTGAATAAGTTAGGAGCCAACTCCAAAAATTCATAACAGTCAATTTATTTATTAAATTCATTATTTATTTTATGTATTAAATTCATTATCTAGTAACAGTGACTCCTTTATTAAATTCATTAAAAATTTCACTTGTTGACATACTAAAACAGTCCTGCTAGCCTCCTGCTAAATATGCCTCTGAGTTATTTTATATGAAAAACTTTTGTATATTACACTGCAAACTAAGGTTTTCTTGTCTATGCAGTCCACGTGTACTTTATGTCTATATACTAACTAAAGATATACTTATCATTAATTGCTTCGAATGCATGTGCTATAGTACATTCTACTCTTCTCTGCTAATACATTGCAAAATTCTAAATGAATAAACATCACATCAAGATTCTAGATAAGGGTTTGGCTTCTGTTCAATTCTGTGTATTATTCAAAGTTAAATTATAATAATAATGGGAATATCAATTAGTAACATAAACTCACGTTTATTTATCCCCCTTCAGATATGCTCTTCACCTAATTGCAGCGTGTATGTTACACGCATACTTAATGTGCACAAACACGGAAGCTTGCGAAATCACTAAGCAACCCTGTAGGCTGCAGAAAGCAAATTATATAAGAGCCAGCTATTAATGAATTTAGGATTTCCCTCAAACCTTGCTGACTCTGACCCTCCAAAGTTCTTCCAGAAACAAACTGAAAAATTCTAACCCGAATTGCTACTACATAAAACTAAAGAGACTGTCATTATAAATATTGAATATATTTTACCGCTCTATAATAATTTGGTTCTCCACTAGAACAGAGAACAAAAAGACTAATGGAAATTTCATAGAACCAAAATAAAGGTCTTCGGTAATATTACACAGAAATACGGGATACTGTTGGGCAGGAATTTGTGAATTAGAGGAGGCCACAGGAAGGCTGTTTTATTTCAAAGCATGTATAACGGTTTATGCCACAAAAGGTACCCCAAATAGCAGGCATGCTTGTATCCCTGGTGCCTTCCAGCACCGGGTGGGAAAGGGCGCTCAGTTCTGGGTCCCCGCACGCCCCATCTGTGCACCCAAGTTTTGCTGCGTGTTCTTCTGGCTGGGTGAGGCCGAAGTCTGTGGGCATCACATCTACTGGGAGTCACATTGTGCTCCACAGGACTGCAGCTCTCCTTGCACACCTCAGCAGACCAGCGCTTTTCCGACTCCTTCCCGTCTTCTGCCGGGTTTCCTCCCCTTGGGTCCGCCCGGCTCTCCCTTGGCCTCACCCTGCCTGCGAACTCGCCTCTTTCCGCTGCCAACGGAGACCCTCGACTCCACTCAGCTCCCCTCCCCCACCACGCATGGAAAAGACTTGAAATTGGAACAGAAACGAACTGCCATTAAATCTATTAAGTCCTACCAAGACACCCCTTTCGGTGGAAAAAGCCAGCTCGAGTGGACCCCCCAGCCTTGTTATAATCCTTTGGAATTCTAACCAAAAACTGCTAACAGAACGTGTTAACAAAAGCTCCACGACCTCAGAAAACACTTTTTCAACTTTATCCGGGAGGGGAAACACCTATCACCCGGCTGAGGCACGGAAGGCGGCGTGCGTGGGTACCGACACATCCGCAGACACACACCCCAGCCTGACGCGATCGCAGAGAGCGGGAGGGCTCTGCGAGGGCCGCCGGCCCCGGCGGTGAGAGCGCCCATCCGCCCTGCTCCCCGGGGCCCTGGGGCCCGGCGCCAGCTCCGCGCTCCCCACGGGCAGCCGGCACCCAGCCGCGCGGTCACGAGCGCGCGCGACTCCGGCGCGGCCGAGTGCCTCCCGTCGCTGCTCGGCCCGGGGTGGAGGGGATTCTCCAGGGCTCGGGGCCTCCCGCGTGGCGCCCACTGCCCCAACCCCAGCCCCGCACTCCGGCCCCGGGGAAGGATGCTGCTGCTCCGGGAGGTGTCTGCGCCGCCGCGCCGTCCCCGCCCCCGACCCCACGGGGAACGCGCCCGGGACGCGCAGAGGGGCGTGCGCCTGGCCGGGGGCCGGGGACCCGGGAGACTTGGGCACCTGGACGGCGGCTGAGGGTGGGTGAGCGTCCGAGGGCAGAGACCTCGCAGCACACAGGTGTTGCTCCGCCCCCAGCCTCACTCTCCCAGAGAGAGCAGGGGTATCCCTCGGGGTCCGGAGCACAGAACTGGGGGGACAGCGGACGGGTGGGTACTCCGGGACTAGGGCGGGCCGGCCCAGGTCCTTTCCCTCTCCGCGGCGAACCCTCGCGGGTGTCGGCAACTTCCTAACAGCTACACCCCCTTCTCCGCGCAGCTGCCCGCAGCTTCCCGCCCTCTGCCACCCTCCGAGGTGACAGCCAGCACCCAGCCCAGGCAAAGGGCAACCACGCTGGGGGCGCCTCCTGCTCTCCTCCTTCTCCCTCTACAAGTAAGCGCCCCGACCACCCACCTCAGAACAGCAGCTGGTGCTGCCCTAAATAACAGCTCCCAGCAGGAAGCCCACCCCCAAAACGCACCAGCCACCTTAGCAACGCTTCCCATCGCCAGCACCGCGTCGACCCTGAGATCGCCCTCGCGGCTCCCACGGAACCCGAAATGTCACTTCCCAGCCCCACCCAGCCTCCCCGCGCGGGTCCTAGACCTCTCTCCACCCCGGCTTCCAACTTCCCAGCCCCCAACCAGCCTGGGTCCAGCGCAGGTGCGGGGCCCAGCACCCTGCGGCTCGGGTCAAACAATGCAACCCAAGAGAGCGGAGAGGGGGGAAAAGGCCAGTGACGGCGGGCAGCGGACTCCGATGGAGACAAGAGTGGGCGCCCGGCCGCGCTCCCCGCCC